ATGCGCTTTTGCAAGTGAGCTATGGTGTTGTGCTGAACTGTAAGACTGTTTTGCCAAATGATCTTAGAGTTTTGAGAATGTAATTTCTGTTTCGAGAAATGATCCAAACCAGTGGAGAAAAACTGTAATATCTGAGCCCAAAAGATTTAACCCCTGGGACATCAATATTGCAAGCACTGAAATATTATATTATCAATAATATCTTTAAGTGGAATCACATATGTGTCCTTTCATTTTTAAAATTATGTCTAGGGAAGAGTTTTCTAACCAAAATACAATGTAAAGCCATTCATGTGTTTTAACTGAGCGAGCAATAGTTTTCCAAATGGATTACAGTTAAAATAAAATACATGGTACTCTCTTTATAGTCCAACAAGGAAAAACAGAATACAGCACACACAAGTTTGAGTCTTTGTACCTGCAGGTGGTGATGTTGTACATGTACATGGGCTTGCTTTCGTCAGAAAAATCGCTGGTGTTAAATATAGACAGCGAGCTGTTGATGTAGCCCTGCATGGTGTGATTAGAGTAATTTCCATATGGGTACACAGAGAAAGACCAGTAGTAGACCAACCGTGGAATCATGTCTGACGTAAAAGCAATGATCATGGCCTGTTGAGACACCAGGGCACAAAGTTAATGTAGTGATAGAGACGGGAAGATTCAAACATATGGTCATTTTAAGGTCTGTAGTTTGTTGTAATTCACTGGACTGCATTAGATTGTGAAACTGAAAAAAGAAACTGTTTTAACAAAAACTGAATATTATGCTTTACAAAAGTAGGATTTACTGAAGCCTTGCTGCATTAAATTGCATTACATTTTACATTTGTACCTAATAACTAATAATTCAGTGTAAACAGTAACTTACATTTGTTGCCACAGCCAATATAGCTATGCCTCCAAGAATAGGCTGCCAGGCCCCTATATGCTGGGCCTTCTCTGGCACCACGCGGCGAAATTGAGTGGTGATTTTCCAAGCATCAACCCGAATCTCAAACAGGTTGTTGACCAGAGCCAGGACCGGAGCCAGAGGGAAGGAGGCCACAAACAAGGTCACAAAGCCAAACTGGATGACTGTAAGAGAGACGAGATAGAAGTGTAAAAAACAACCCAGGATTCAGTTGTGCTAGGTGGTGTAAATGTGGCAGACAAAGGGACTGAAGAGGACTTTCTTCTCCACTTACCCATCTCAAGATATTCATAGAACAGTCCTAGTTGTGAAACAGGCTGGAGCTCATAGTCCTGTTCCCAGCGAGGGATCACCTTCTGTGAGGTCACACGGGTGAAGTAGCGAAAAATCAGATTTTTCAACCACCTGTGGAAAGGTGGAAGAGATCATAAGTGACTCCATATGACACTGGAGAGTTGATGTATGATTAGCTATTGCCTTGGACAGCCTTGGCCTTGACACATGTTGCAAGCAGCAAATTTGCTGGAGAAACGTTGCCTCTATAAGCTGTCATTCTGTTACTTAATTGCATTACTTTGTTTTTTCAATTTAACTAAAACATTTATTGATTAGATTCTGACTACTTACGGTAGCAAGACCTCTTGGATGTTGTTCCAGATGGCTTTTCCACCCATAATGATCGAGAGCTGAGTCGTCAGCTCGATCAGACAACCACCAGGATCACACTGAAAGGACAACAAGACACAAAGCAAGAGTTAAGAATAAGAAGTGAGTAAGTTAGACAGGCGACAGCTAGAAGGACAAACTGTACCTCCTCGTTCCGGTATTTTCCCAAGAGATAGACGGGGTCTCCAGGATAACCAACTGCTTTCCCCTTGACAAAGGCGATGTAGAAACAGGAGGAATAATAGTTGACAAACTGAAAGAGGAACATCTTGAGAGTCAAGCTGTTCTCGTAGTCTGTCTTGGTCCGTGGAAGCTCTGTTATTGTGTGTCAGATAAGAAAAGGATTTAGGATAAAGCACAAGCAAGTCAATACTGAGCAGAAGTACAATTCAAACTCACCAAAATCGGTGATCCAGATGGCGACCCGCTCATACAGAATGTTGAGGATCATGATTACAACAAAGCTGATGAGGGAGGCTGTGACGGACGTGGCCATCTGCGGCGTCACATACTCTTTTAGGGGTTCCAGCTCCCTCAGGTCCTGAGTCCTGAGTTTAGCTGAGAAGGCAAAAAATACTGCCAGGCGATAGACAATGATGGCCACAATGGACGCCAGGATCAAAAAAATCTAAAAGACAAAATGCAAATATAAAAGATTGATGCATATTATGATTTGAAATTGAAAAAATAGGTTGTGCTTTATTAAATGGGTTGATCATTTTGGAAAAGTTTCCTCAAAAGAATTATACATTTTTTATTAGTTGTAGGTAAAAAAGAGACCATGTTCAATTAGTACACTTCCAATTAATAACTTAATTAGAATAACATAAGAGTCTTTTAGTCAGCTGAACAAGCAGAAACATGTAATTTGTCTAAATGCAAAGATACAGTTCAATGTATATTGACAGCTAAGTTTCCAATAATAAATGAGTAACTGACCTTTTTGCTCAAAGAAATTACCATTTTCCCTAAAATTAGTATCAGACTACATATTTATTCACATAAAATCTTAGTTAATGAATTACAGACTGGTAAAATAGCAAGAAAAATTAACTGAAATAAAAATTATTTATTTACATTACCCAGAATACGACAGTCCCAATTCCTAACGACACCCGAAAGCACCGTCCGCATGCTGTATAGGGAACTGTTTCTTTTACCTAAATCACAAACAAACAATGTGAAATACTGTACCTTATAAACAATGAGGCAAAACAAAGTATCTCTAAATCTTATTGACTCAATATTTAAAACCCATGTTAAGTTCTTATTGTTTTGACTATGGTATACATCTTTAGGTGTGAATGTGATTTACCCCTGTGACTGGGTTTTTCCTCTCATAGATACATTTGGCTTCATATTCTGGGCGAGGCGGCTCTTCCTGCTCCAGAAACTCCACAGTGTCCCACTCGTACTCCAGCTCGGCCTGGTAGCGCTTCCAAAACTCCAGGAACAAAGTTACTACAGCCATGAAATTAACAGGAAGAGGAGGAAGGAAGGAATAAGAAAGAATCAACAATTTAAACTAAAATAAACATTTCAAATTGTAAGTTACAATATATTTTGGTGTAAACTGGGGATATTAGCATGCCAATACGCTCTGTGGAAGTCATTTGTGAAATTATATAAAACTTACCCCAGATTGACATGAAAACTGCAAATACCAGGGTTCCAAAGTTATCAAATATACAAAGTTTCTGCAAAGAGGAAGAAATAGAGAGAAACATGGGGGTCATAATTGTCGCAGCTGTTTCCTGCTTACATGCAAATGCAAAACACAACTGCTGCTGTGCCACCTGGGATAATAACAGCCACACACAATTCAATATGGAAATCCTGTAACTGTAGTGTTTGCTGTTGCAGTCCAAAAATGCTCCTCAGAAATGAAAGATAACCTACAGTATGTAACAGCGACCACTGTAGCAATTATGGAATAAACTTAAATGCTGTTGAGGCAGTAGCTATTGGCTGTAGCAGCAGTTTAAATGTTCAAAACTACAGGTGAAATAATTTCACAGGCAAATGTGTTCAGATAATTAACTTATACCACCTTCTATACCTATTTAGTAACAATGCAGCTCTCATTTGTAAATGAATGATGCATATTAAAGTGGTTTGACTCCAGATTACATACAGTAGTCATATATATTATACTATTATAATATATTAATTAATTCTAGCCGATTGTGTATTAAGTGACAAGGACAAAGTGAAAAACATTCACTCACTTTCGAAGCTTCACAGGTGCTGTTCAACCTCCAGTATTTGCATTCTCTGTCACACTGTGGACACATCACAATTTGCCCTCCAATTTCAGGGTCGCACACCTCTTTGCTGCAGTAATTTAATTGCAGAATAGAGATTAATATACAGGGAAGTGTATAAAAAATGAAGCAAAGGTGAACAGCAGGGTGAAAAATAGGCATAATGAGGATTTGCGGTACGTATTATACTTTAATAATATTGATTCATCTCAAAACAGTATATATACATACTTTAACTACTTATACTAAGTTCTTCATTCAACAGCTCTTGGGGATATTTCAAGGAGTGTCTATAAGGGAATGTACCTCCAGGTGCTGGTGTCTTGAGTCCTGTATCCATAAATGAAACAACCCAATCCCACAGCAGCGGCCAGAGCGAGCATTATTGTGTAGAAACCCAACCAGGCAAAGTAAATGCCAATCTTCTCCCCGTAATACTTCCTGTGGAAAAAAACAATCGTTTTTCAAATCACAACTTCTCTGGCTCATCAGTTAGGAAAAAAAAACCTCAACAGGACAAAGGCGTAAAAGATTTTGTTCCTGCTTGCACACACAGGAAAAGTAACTGCAGGCAAACACTTTTTATTGACACATAAACAAGAGCAAACACTTCAGTTTAAGCTGAGCTGAAATATATGAAAGAGCCATTTTAGTACTTTTAAGTTCCGTTTTCTGATGAGAACATAAAAGACTGTGTTTACCTTATGAGGTCAAGTGGTTGCATCTTGTAGAAGCTTTTGGGATTAGCCCATTCTTGATAGAGCAGATATCTCTCGTTGGGGCAGCTGTCCTCTTTGGACTTGACATTGAATCTGCACTGAAATAGCCGATATGGAAATAACAAAAACAAAGAAAAAATGTAAGTACATTTTTGGATCATTGATAGCATTAAAACCATGCTATATATGATGCTATAAACTGAAAAAGACACAAAATTAAATTCACTAAAAACACGACAGATATGAACATTTACACAGGTGGCAAATGATATCGCTTACATCATGAAGGGGATAGGCAGCCTTGTACACTCCACCATCCAGCAGTTTGGTGATGCCAAACTTCTTTATGTTCCCCCGTATTTCATAGGGGGCACGACTCAGGATGTAGTACGCCTGAAAGAAGAAGAAGAAAAGGTTTGATGTTTACATCCCCACAGAATTCCTTTACGTTAACTTCATCCTTGAAAATAAAAGTGAAAGATGAAAACAACTTGCCATCCTGCTCCTCATGGACGGAGTGAAGAAGGCGTCTTTGTCCTTTATGTAGAAGTAGTCCAGGCGGTTTTTCTCAAAGGCGGCGGTGAAGTACTCGGCCTCCTTGGTGATCAGTTCCTCGCTGGGGTAGAAGTGCTTGGTGAGGAAAGAGAGATAACGCCACGGGGAGGGGCGGCAGGACAGGTCGTTGGGCTGGATGGGAACCTTGATGTGCAGGACCTCGGCGTAGGTGCACAGCACTTCCCACGGCATGTGGACTTTCACAAACAGCAGTTTCTCATTGATTACCTGCAGAACACAAATGAGGGGTTGCTTTTAATACAAGATACAGTGACAGAAACCTTGTAATAAAAAAGTGCAGTCTGCTTACAGATTGTGTGGCTTCCAGCTCCAGCCCCATCTTCATCAGGCTGGCCTCGAAGTACTCCCGCCGCCTCTACAGAAGAGAACACAGAACAGACTTCCAATGAGCTTCTTGTTTTAATTCAGATTCAATTTCTGTATGGGAAGTACTGAAGCTGTATGTATGACTCATGTGCCAAACACAGTGGAAATACTGTGAGCACACAGAAGTATTTAAATTAAGATACACTGTTTTGACTTGCAGAGAGAGGAGAATTACCCTCTATTGCTTTATGTGATTCAAATTTCTCAATATTGTTTTAATTATGTTCATTTAAAGCTAACTGTAGAGTTGATAGCTCACTTATTTAGACATGTTCCAGTTCCATAACGTAACCATTATTTACACTGCGCATAGTGGTAAAGAATGATGATACTGTAAGCAGGTCATAGCACGTTCTTGTTGTGGCATGTCATCAACTATGGCACTACAGTGAATGCTGGACGCAAAGGAGAGTACCTCACTAAAATGATCAGGTACAGTGAATAACATTATTAAATCTTCTTGTTCAAACTGCTTTTATACTTAAGTTTATAAGCTATTTGATTCTCTGGGATCATATCATCCAAGGCACCTTTATACATTTTCCGGTATGTCAATTCCATTCTAAGGAATACCTTTGAGGGTGTCGACAAAGCAAAAGCCAAAATCCCTTTACTGTTTGTTTTAGCCATCCCTGTTTTCATGACACACAGGAAATAGCATACGCACATGAAAATGAACGAACATGTGAGTGAATTTAGCTTGTAAGCTAGCAATCTTGCCAACAGTATCTGAAGTGAACCACGCCCTTCCAGCAGTAGGAGCAAGAAAGAAAAAAAGGTTTTGCAACTCCTGTTTAGACCCAGGTTTGACTCTGGGAAAGAAAAAGGGAGTGCCTGGTAGAGACTGTTCTGTCATCCCTAACTGGATTTAGTTTGCTTTAATATGATTATAAATGAGGAACTGCCTCAGTTACAGTGGATCTGTGGTGAAGAAGCTCATGACACTTGCAACAGCTGTAACAGCAGGTCTCTTCCCGGGATCTGGCTAAAACGGGCTGATAAGCTTCTACACACTTGTTTCTGTGAAAAAAGACTTAGGGACATTAGGAAACTTTTCCCATTTACTATTTAATGCTGTTCAGTATTAGCCTTCACAGGGCACAGCCTCAATTTCAAAACAACTTGAGGGTTACGATTGCAACAGTGCAAGTAACAGCCTGGAAGGTCTGTGGATCTACAGTGTTTTCAAGCCTTATCTTGCACACCCCTCACTGTATTGTGAAAGACACAGGCGGCAACAAACAACAGTCCTCGGTATGTCAGTTCATGTCGCAGTGTTCTTGATTTGTCCACAATCCCTGCACACATCCCTGACATTCATATCCGGCTCAGCTAACAGGTAGTTAGACAGACCTGGAACGAGTGTTTGCTTTCGGATTTACTCTGTTCACACTCTCTAAGGTTTAAAATTTGAGGGCCAACGTTAAACAAATATACATGACGAGACTTGTGACTAGCCTGATTTTATCTAAATTCTCTTGGCAAAGTTTTGTTGGTGTAAGTGAAGGAGTGACTCTTCATTTCCACAACTTCCCCCCCCAAGGCAACGTAGCCCGGAGCTGTTCCTGAACAACTCACAGTTAAAAATGGTGAATGAATGTAAAGCAGAAAGGAACTATACAAACAATGTATGCTCAGCTGTTCCCTTTCTTGGATAACTAAAGATTAAAGCACTATTAAGTACACAGTGCTGAACATACACTGGCACCAGTAATTAATATAACATCATAGGACTGCCACCCTGCTGTAAATACAAACTCCCTTTACAAATAGGCAAGAGTCAATAGGTTGGTATTTGTAATATAACACGCAAGGCATATCATATTCGGCCATATAATTTCTAATAAGTAGAAGTGCTCATTTGCATTTCAGTCTGGCTCAGTTATGTCATGTTTCATTCATTGCTATATTGTACTCTATAATGAATTTTGTTTTGCATAAACAAATTATTTGCTACTGTCATTTCACATGACATGCCCCTCCTTTCTCTCTCCACATTTCCCGTCATCTTTCAACAGTACACTCGGCAAAACATGAAAAACTCAAAACATAACTTTTTACAGATGCTTACTTTTTGAGAGGAGATCACTTTAAACTCACTTTTACACCACTTCCATTACTTTAAATACCTGCAGATATATTATAAAATGTACTGTGCAGCTTAAAAAGGGTTTAAAAAATCTACCTTGCGCCGCTGGAACGTGTGCCTCTTCTCGAAGTCCTTCTTATCCTCGTCCTCATGGACCAGGATGAAGTCGATCCTCCTCACGCCATCGTTGAAGAATAAGGAGTCCGGTTTGTCATTAAACTCTACCTGAGGGCAAAAACAAGGCTCATCAGATAACTCTGTAGCCTGGAACTCGTACACTTCTTCCTCCATAATGTCGTACATGATGCCCCGGAGAGAGGAGCGACTGTGTGTGGACAGTCTGAGCGGAGATACTGTTAAACACTGACCTTCACCAGCCAGCGATGTGGGACATGCAGGAGAAGTGGGAAGAGTCAACAAACATTATGACATCCGCCCTTCATCTCTCTCTCTCTCTCT